TTTGTCGAAAAAGAATAAAGGCTTCGTTTGAGCGAAATGGATCTTGCCAAATAATGGGAATTGCATGTCGATATTTAATCTTATTGAAATATAAGTTTTATATTAGTCATTTGATCATGTATCTAATATATCTGTTACTAAATCTTATTATTATTGTTATTATTTCCGAAACCTATAGCTTAGCTTAACCAGATCGGCAGAAAAATCATTTGGGCAAATTTTCAATGAGTTATGATAATAGCTGGGACATAAATGTTTTACCGGGTGAAAAAAATATTTTTTTAACCAATCAAATTTTAGAAAAGGGTTAATTTTTTTTAAAAAATAAATTTATTTTCCGGGTCACTTTTTACTATTTATATGGATGAGAAATGAATAATTTTATTTGTATAGCCTAATCCAATTTTGATGATTTAATATCAAAATGATCCTCTTTGTAATATAATTCTAATGAACTCAAAATCATTAAAATCTGATTATGTGATTAAGAGATCAGTAAAGATTTATATTAATTATAAACTCTGATCAAAGGGTATTACTCCTCTACAAATTTTATTTCCACATAAACATTTTTTCTTTCCATTTTTATTTCCAATATCATCTATTGTCACCCCACTTTCTAGTTGTACACTGAGATCATTCATTCCAGAATAATCAAATGTCAATTCTTCTTCTACTTCGATATCTCTTATGGCAAAAAATGCCGCCACGGGAATTAAAGAATTGATACGAACCAGATAAATCTGGAGGTTTGGTGCGCATGAATGATTGATATATCTTCCAGCATTTCCGATATGATTTGGGTCGATGTTCTATCCAATAACAAGTTTAGCAAGAGATTTGATATACTTAGATAATTTAGATACTTACTGTTCGAAGAATACGATCTTCCCTGTCAAAAGTATATAAAAACAGATATTCAATGTAATTTATGCCAAAAAAAACAAAACAAAGCAAATAACACATATTTAACTGACTTACATATGTTCTCTCAAACACAATATGTAATTTTGAGCCATTGTATCATTCCTCATTTCCTTCCATCTTCGTTTAGCCTCTTCGGTTTTAATTATTTCACCTGCATACTCACAAACAAACATCCCTTCAAAGATTTTTTGCAATGTACGTAATCCCCAGCCACGACCATCCATAGATTTGAAAACTTGTAAGGGAACTTTAATGCCATGTTGAACTATGCGATTTGGACATATTATTGGGGAACATGTACATGATGAATTACACTCATAGATTGATGTGGGTATGGAAAAATTTAAGTTGAGACATCGCTTATGTGAGTATTGTTTAGTATAAAAGTAACCTATTGATAATATTTTAAAAATTAGTACAATATGTAAATAAAACTCTGTATCATTAAAATAACTATACCATGAGTTGATTTACATCCACAATCTTCTGATATGCAATTATCAGTACAATCGCAACCATCATAATATGATGGCAACTCTTCATTTGTCACAAATTCATTTTCAGATGAAAGTTTTACGCAATGTACAATGTACTGCAAATTTAATTTAGTGTTAGTTAAATTTATATTAATTTATTTACATTTACAATTATTTAAACCTTTTGATGTACGCGTAGTTCTCCAAGTTCTTTATCATCATTATATATCAAGCTGACAGGGAATGGTTCGAGACCATTTGATATATCCTTAATGATGAATGCGTTACTAGCTAATTTTATCGGACATTATATATAAATTTGCCTTTAGCCTTTCACACATCGATATCTTATAGGAAAAGAAAAAACATTAGTTTGTATAAAAGCACTTACTTATTGCAATATCGGAGTTATAGGCTTCTTTCATTACTATTGATCTTATTTTAAGATTTGTTAAAAAAATTTTGTAAGTTTAAAATTTTTTAATTTTGAAATTAAACCACTTGGTGAATAATTTGAACACAGGAGGGTTGTTCAGATTAGGGGAACATTTTGAAAATAAGACAACTTACATAATTTAAATTTAGAATTAGGGCCACTTTATACTAAATGCTAAAGTTTGGCTAAAATTAGCACCCCTACTTTATGTGCCAGGTTATGTCAATCACGATCAACAAATTAAGAAAAATGTTTTTTTATCTCAAAATTTTACCTATGAAACAGCTTTTCATGCTCTAATAAAAAAAATTCCTCTCATAATTTTGGCAATAAATCTTACTTTAAATTCTCATCTAACCGTAATCTAAGCTAACTTAATGCTAACCTCAAAATTAGCTTAATGTTGACATAACCTGGCACAAAAAGTAGGAGTGCCAAATTAAGCATTGCTATCGAATCCTAAAATTTAAATTACAGTATATATAAGTTATACTCCGATACACATTCATGCGCATTTTCCAAATCAAAAACCCTGATTTACTATTTGATTAATTCAAATTTTTATGCTGAATTATATGTCAACAAAATGACGCATATATTAAATTGCACCCCAAATCAATAAAATCAATATAATTTTTACATCAAATCCATCTCTTTTTTTAATCATTAAAAACCTATCCTCTTTTATTGTTATTAAAATTTAACTTTAAAATTAATCTTCGTATTTAAATAGTAATTATATTTAGAGAATTGTTAATGCCACCACAAAATTTAAAAAAGTGCTCCGGAAGAGGCAATTTTATTAAGTAAATCCTTATTTTGAGCTTAATAAAGTTGTTCATCAGGCCTTTCCGGTTCTAATGGTAGTAAAATCATTAAAATCGAGCCAGTAGTTTTTTTTTAAAGTAAATAAAAGTTAACTAACTTTGGACATATATATCTTAGGAACTACCAGTCCGATTTTAATGATTTCACTACCATTAGAACCGGAAAGGTCTGATGAAGAACTTTTATTAAGATCAAAATAGGATTTACATAATATGAATACCTCTTCCGGAGCACATTTTAATATTTGGGGTGGCATTAACAAAAATGGGGTGGCGTTAACAATTCTCTATATTTATAGTCAAATAATTTGACTTGCATAAAATAGTCTATCACATACTACGTCATAAATTTAGTGTGGTGTAAAAAGTTGCACTCATGCGATACATAGCTGATAAAAGAATGTACCCTGTAGAAATGATA